TGGCCAGCCCCAAAAGGTTAAAGCTTTGCATTAATGAAGCATTGCCTAGCTCTGCAAAGCCTGGTGAAGGCAATCAAGAAGAAATTGATGGGTTTGGATCCCATTTGATGAGCTTAGCCATCAAAAATATAATTTCTGCCACTGAGGCCAGCTCCCTCATCAACAAAGGGAGAAGGGCAGGGCTCAAGATCAAGGGACCTTTTCAGCCTGCAGAAGGCAACCACAGGAAAAGAAAAATATTTGGCTTTGAAGAGAAAACCGACAAGAAAGAGCCAGGGGATGGCACCTCTTCAAGAGCATTGACCAGGTGGCTGGCCAGACAAAACAATTGGACTGCTTTGTATTGGGCAGACATTCCCTTCTGGAACCCATCCACAAAGAAAAGGATTGTGTTTTCACACCCATTCCTGTTGCCACATGAGTGGCTGGACGTACCTCTTGCAGGCAGGGGCCTTCCAAGAAGGCCAGCCTGAAGAAGGCAGCTTCTTTCATAAGGAATTGAAGAAGGGATGCAGGGCATGGGGGCAGCCTGGAGAAGGCATGTTTCCGCTTGGTTTGCATGGAGATGGTGTTCCATACCAAGGGAGGATGAACCAATCCACTTTGGATTATGTAACTATCAACTTCCCAGGGTCGAAGTTGCTGAGCCACAAGAGGTTTTTGGTGACCTGTGTGGATTCCAAGTGGTCCTTGGGACATGAAACCTGGCAAGCCATCTGGCAAGTCATTGCATGGAGCTTCCAGCAGCTTGGAGAAGGCAGGGCAGCTTGTAGAAGACATGATGGCAAAAGCCTGGAGAAGGCCAGGCTTAAAATGGCTGGAAAAAGCCTGCAGAAGGCATGCTTGGTACAAATGAGAGGTGATTGGGATTGGAATGTCAAAGTCTTTGGAGCCCCCACATTCAACACAAAGCTGGGAATGTGTTGGATGTGCAATTGCAAGCCAGGAGATTGGCACGCCATGAGCCAAGAGGACAGAAGGAGATACTGCCTGGGGAAGGCAGACTGGCTGGCCAACCTTGCTGCAAGGGAGAAGCCAGCCATGCAGCTTTTCAATTTGAAAGGTGTGTCCAATCAAACCATGTTCCCGGATTGGATGCATGCTGTGGATGAGGGCATAGCAGCTTCAGTGGTTGGCCAATGCCTGAAAGAGTTTGAAAGCCACTGTGCTGGCTCCAACAAAGACGAAAGATTGAATGCACTGTGGGGATTCATCAAAGACCTTTACCAAAAGAACAACACAGATCATGACAAAAGGCTTTGGAAACTCACATCCAAAGATTTTGTCAAGAGTAGCACTGTGCCACCAGAGCTGGATGCTAAAGCAGCTCAAGTTAAAGGGCTCTGCCCTTTGCTGCACCACCTGGCACAAAGGCTTCTGCCTGGAGAAGGCACACCGCACCAGAGAGCTGTCAAAAAACTTGCAAAACTTTGCAGCTCAATGTATACCAGCCTGGAGAAGGCAGATCTAGCACAGCTAGTAAGACATGGCCGCTTGCTGAAACAGCAATGGATGGCTTTGGAAACAGAAGCCCAGGCTCAGGATGATTTTGTCAATTTCCATAGCAAGCCAAAATGGCATTTCTTCGACCACCTGCTGGACCAGGTGCAGGAAGGTCTTCATCCTAAGTCAACTTGGTGCTACCAGGATGAGACCTTTGGCCATCTTCTCCAAGGCTTTGGCCAAAGGAGAGGGGGAAAGAGGAACCCCAGCAGCCATGCCAACAAAGTTCTGCTGGCTTGGATGGCTGAAGAAGAGTTCCCCAGCTTCTTCAAGGCCTCAGCCTGAAGAAGGCAAGAGCTCCCACCAGGCAGCAGCCTGGAGAAGGCATCTGCAAGCTGGCAAAGGACCAGACAGTTTCACTCAACAGCTAGAATTTTGGACAAAAAAAGCCTGCTTGCTGGCTTGCTTGCTGTTGAAATTGAGAAGATATAGATATATATATATAATATATATATATATAGTTAATATGCATCTTCCCATGCTGAAGTCTAGAAGCTTCAAAATGAAGCTTCCAGAATGAGCTTCTGGACTTCCAAGAAGCTACTTCTGGAAGCTTCAAAACAAGACTTCTCAGAGAAAAACTTAATTTTTTCTAGAAGCTTCGAAACAGAGCTGCCAGCCTCATTTTGAAGCTTCTCAAAATCGAGCTTCTCAAATGAAGCTTCTCGGCTCTTCAGGGTTAGCGGTTGAGGTTCAGGACGATACCTACTCCGAGGACGACGCCAAAATCTTAAAGCTGTTGGGTATGATCGAGGAGAGTGGTGTTTACCCAGAGTATGATAACACCGAGTGGCAGGAACTCTTCGAGGAGATCGTGTACCGCCGAGCGATGAAAGACTATGATTCAAGGCCGTGTCCTCATGTCTTGGCGAAGTCGATGTGCGATTGACGATATGTCCGCACTGCGTAGCGGTTTTGATCGCGAATGGGAAGCTCACACATGTGGTACCCAAAGAGACAAGGGACCGCAATCAACGATCACCTCCGAAAGATGTCCCAGCCGGTTCTTCCGGTGAAACAACCTCTGCTGCAGGTGCAAACATCGATGAAGTCATCAAGAACGCACGCAAGACAGCCGAAGAGGTCATTGAGATCGAGGAATCCGAAGGAGAGGAAGAGGAGGAAGTTCCTATCATTTTGAAGGAACGACCGGACGAAGCTGAAGGCGAACCCGAGTATCGGGAGGTCCCTCAAGATGGATACGGGAATGAACTTCCGAAGCCTTTCCCCTTCGCAATTGACGAATTGCCGCAAGAAGCTGCGATCCCCATCGACCACAACTTTGCCGTCACACAGCAATTTGATCTGAGGTTGATGAAGTTGATCAAGGGCTTGGCCAACGCAACGTTCGACATCAACTGCTTTGAGAGTCGTGAAGATGTACTGCGAATGTTCGACGATGGACAGCGGCATGACACTCCGCACAATAGATGGCCAATAGTACCGAAAGATCCGGATACTGGGTTTCCAAGACGTCTCAAGAGAGCCGAGGTCGTAGGCATGAGCAGATGGACCGACGACGTGTTTGCAGCAGAAGCGTGGCAGATTTATGAATTCCACGCCAACGTTGTTCATCCGATGATGATCACTGCAATCCGCTGCGGGCTTAGCCACAAGTACCTCAAAGAGGTCGGCAACACTCAGCGTAGCATGAGTGATCCAAAGGCTCGAAAGTCTGAGACCCAGGATGAGATCATCGAGAAATTGGCATTCATCTCAAATTTCATCAGACGCATGATCAAGAAGACCTTCGGAGCGAGCCGATATAGTTACTACCAGAAACCAGATGACGAAAGTGCCGCTCCATACAAATTCATCGACATTAGTCCCGCCATCAAATCGGAGAGGAAGAATGTCACGAAGGAGATCCTCGTTGCATGCCGCTACTATGGCATAGAGGTATCCGATATCCAAGAAAGGAAATTGAAGTCCTTCGAGGAGCAGATCCGAGCGGGAAATCCAAGGAACGTTGAGCTCATCAAGGACTACATTGGCTTTGTCGGCGCTGACTACATGCGACAACTCACGAATGGTTGAGCATTGGGGTCATACCGACATGCCACTTCCGGTACTTCAAGTACTGAGGGATCTCGGGTAATTCATGATGACCGTTTTGGCATCATGGGAGTGAGATAGGATTGTGTCTCACACCGTTGGTAATCGCATGATACCATAGGTAGGTGCACGTTTTCCGCTTGTAGCTCCATTGCCTGTTTGATCCAACTTTCAAGCGAATGCAAGATCTTTTGCTAATTCAATTCAATAGGACATACTGGTTGACCTCCAATACACTTTTGAGAACGTGATTCGTTCTCCGGTTTTTACATCCACTCATCTCCCTTCCCCGTCGAAGTACGGATGTGGGGGGTGTCAATAGGGATGGGGTCCCAGTATAGTCGCTATACAGGTACATGCCATATACTTTTGGCTCAAGTGCCCAACCAGGTAAAAAGGAGCTTTAGCGCGCGAGCTTCATGTTGACCTAAGAGCTAGAACGGGGCCAGGGCACACCTTTCCATCCGTTCACAATATACATATGGAGAGTATATGAGAATATTGTAGTTACTATATGTCTTGCTTCAGAATACTGGACAACTAGATCGGGTGAATTCAACTGAAACCACCCAACGCCGCGACCTGCCAACCAACGCTCAATCCAAGTGACTGCCAAGATCACATTGTAGATACCTCCCGCTGGTGGTGCTGGAACTATCTATGGCTCAACAACCGATGGTCATGTATATATTGTTACATTTCTTTGGTACTTGGTGGTACCTGCAGTAAAATGGCCTTGCAAAAGCAGCTTATAAGCGCAGTTTGTATGCATTTGCTGCGGTTTGACGAACTAGCCTTGTCAGGGGGAACAACCTGATGCATATTGATGCACTATCTAGAGCTGGCACATGATAATCTTCGTAGTTGGTGTTCAGGAACATACCTATATATGTCGTACGCCGTGGTACTATGTATCTATCTTCTGCAAAGAACGTCACCACAACCCATGTTGGTTCAGCCGTATGTATCGGAATCAATGTCCTTTTCCATTGGCTACCTGATTGATCCTTCTGCGGAACCTTGTGAACAGCATGGTGTGCCCAAAAAGAACACCGGGGGAGTGGGATGAGATTGAGTCATGGCAACAAACAGCCCTGGATAGATTTGCCATCGAATTGAATCCTTGGTGGGCGAGGTGGTTATTAACATGCAGTTTCTATGTATGTATGGTATATTATATGGTATCATATTGTGTTTATCCCCCTCCTCAGCGTCTCACGCAATGGACTCCCGCCTAAGGAGACCAGCAAGTAGCTGGCAGTGTAGCACATGACGAAGGGTAGCCCATGACTGTGTGCCAGGACAGCGGCTATAGGAACGCCTGGGTCTGAAAAAAAACCACCCGGGTTCTCATCATATCTCAACTGGCAGGCATCTGTTTTTGTCGAAACGTGAGGTCTATGCACATTTCTACTAGTAATTGTACTCGTAGCTTCTTGTTACTAGCAAATCTGCAAGACAATGTGCACATTCCAGAAACCTCCCGTCAACGACGACATGTGTGACAACAACGATGGCACCAAGAACAGCAGCAATAAGAATTACAGTACGGCAACTAAAAATAGAAAGGAACTGCAACAATACTGACTGACTACGTGCCAATCTGTAATTTCATGGAAAATAGTACATGATCTCAAGACAACGGAGTGTCAGAATTCCCACGTACTCTGCAGCAAGTTCATCTCAAGCTTCTTGTCATTCAACAAAGCACCAAGTTATCCATGTGCCCACTTGAGATCCTTCCATTCATGGCATGCGTCAATGTTCTAAGGCAGCGGAGTTTCTCTACACTACACCCAACGTTCTTGGACTGCTCCAGGCATGCTTGGCCTTCCTTCTCACACGACCCCGGTTCCCCCGAAAAAAAACTGCTTGTGACCCCAGGCCAGACTCCGCGAAGCACTCCCCAGAGAAGCAGCGGAAGGCGGTGAACATTGACCTGGTCTTTGATTTATCTGGTGAAATGTGTCGATCCAAAGATTCTGAACACATATTAACACTTGGGCGACAAGGTTTTGGGATCAAAAGCCACAAGGTTTTGGTGATGTTTCTTCTGAATCCGTGCCAGGGATCTGTCTATCCTCTTGGATGACGGCTACAAGCTGCTGTGAGGTTTATTGAGACAAAGAAGAGCTGCAAAGCTTCCCAAAGGATTCTCTGACCCTGCTCTAGCAGCTTCAAAGTACATCAAAATACAATGTCTGGCTAAATGAATTAGTGCTCATTGCCTCCTCATCAGCATCAGCATCCCTCATTTTGACCCCCAACGATCTTGCCGCAAGGTACTCGCCTCCACGACTTGAATGTGCAATACGATCCTACGCCATCTAGGGATTGTGGTTCTCCATATTCACAACGTGGTCTTGGATGTGCAAATCGACCTCGATATTTAACGCTACTAGGGGCTCCTGGCAGGATCTTGTTCCCTCCTGGAAGTACTACTAGGAGCGATCGGACGCTACTAGCAACAAGAAGGTTCTTGCATCGCCAACTCCTGCGTGTGTTTCACTCGGGCTGAGCAGCGAAGGAATGTTCTCGAAATGCTTCAGCAAGTCGTCCTGCAGAAACATGGCACATGGGCAAGTTTCCCAGCGGTGACTTTGCTGAGCATTTGGCAGGTCACTGAAGAATTAAACTTGGAGCTCAGAAAACTGGGAGACTCTATCACCGGACTGGCGAAAAAAGGATTCCCTGTACCCACAGCAGTGAAAAAGAGAAGCGCTACGTAGAAGCCCGATGAGCCCTGGTTCGCGGAAGACATATTCTGAATAATGTCTGTTGCCTAAGTGCCATGATGGATTTAGGATGATTTAGGGGGCCTGCGGTGGCTCGCCAGCTGAGAAACACTTCTGTAACTTCAGTCTGGCACGGCAGCTCAGGGAGTCGGGTCCTTCAGTGAGGTGTCTCTTCCAAGAGTCATGGTTGCAAAGCCACTGATCACCTTGGATTGAAAGGAACGTCCTTCGAAAAGTCACCAAACCGGTATTGGAGAAGCTGACTTCTTCAGACAAACATTCAAGTCCGGAGGTTCTCCAAATGGCGAAGGTGACACTGTGCGGAGTGATCTACCCACACCTACCGAGACTTTCAGCAGCTTGCACTGCGCTGCTCTATCTCCAAAGCGAGCTCGATTGGCACGCTAAAAAGGCCGGCCTTCGGTTCGCCAGCCCTCAGCTTTAAACTGCCCAAACAAAAAGGTGCCGAAAGAGTCCAAGGAACGGCAAAAGACGGAAGAGTGTCCCTGTGGTGTTTTTTTTTTTGTGTGCGTTTTATTCCAGCCACATGGCAATATATAAATGAAGAAATCCGGCTGACGTGGCTGGTTTGAACAACCACGGGGCAAAACCGAGTCCACAAAAATGGCTCGAAATTCTTTTGCCACAGCTGTGTTCCATCCCCTGTGTCGCTCCACACCTCTGTCGCTCCCAGTCGCATAAAGCACCGCGAAAAGCAAAGCAAAGGACCTTGGAGGTTCAGACGTCTCTGATCTCCACAACCGAAAAGAAACATCGAAAACCCAAAGACCACGGCTAGAATCTCTCTTCCCATTTGGAACGGAAAGGGTAGTTTGTGGGATGTGCTTCCCCCTCTTAGGCTTAGGATGGCTTAGGGTTTCGACCACAAATCATCTCCACGAGGTCAATGAGGTCTTTGGTGCACAACATTTCCGTCATCGGCGACGATCGGTGCCTGCGGTGAAGCGACACATCCGTTGGCCGACTTGGTCGCCCTCTTCTTTGGAATGACCCACACAACGGGTGTGTGTGTGTGCAAAAGAGAGAAAACGACAACAATGCCATACAATGCCTCCGGATTAGGAGTAGTTCAACCCATTCAACCGAGTCAACTGAAAGCCAAAAGGAAATGACAGCATTGTAGCAGTGAGCCTGTTGGGATCTCAAGTTGGCGAACCTCTAATGACCTTGAGTCTAATATTCAGGAATATATATATATATATTATACAGTATATATATAATGACTATGTGGCTCCTGACGTCTCCAAATCGAAGCCTCAACCTACTGGGCCCCGTGGAAATCGTCAAAACACTCCACTAATGTCTGTGACACAGTGGCCATCCCAGTGGCCCTGTGAACATGTGGCTCCGGACACCTCCGGACAAACGGGTGTCCCTCCGGTCGCTCCGCAGCGACCGCGGAGGATCCGCCTCGCACACCGGAATGCCACTCGTCCCAGGGGCAAGAAGAGCGTCCGGAAGCCGCCCACCAAGCCCTTGACCATGAGTCGGAGCTCCTGAAACAAAGCAACGCCGCCGTGCTGGAAAGCTCTGTCGCCGTGTGGCGCAGAAGGCGCATAGGTGGCACATGCACAGAAGCAATCAACAACAGCACACGGATGGTAAACAAGACGAAAACCTTGATCCATCACGAATTGACTGACAAACAATCTATAAACTGCAGAATATTTGATGTGACTTGTTCATGGCAGCCGCCACCTCATTTTGCTCTACAAGAGGGTTTTGCATATTTCACTTCTTCACAATTGTCATCCTTCACCACCCTAAACCAGGGGGTGCCAATATGGTGCCAATTGTGAATGTTTCGTTTCATGGGCAATGCAGAATCCTGCTTTGGCAACCCAAAAGCAGTACCAAACGGCGGCCAGTACAAGGCCACCCAATTCGCAGCGAGGACGTTGATGGTGTCTGGACTCTGAGCCCGCACCACGTTGATGTGGAAACCTTGGGGGTCTCCTCACATCAATGCCTTCCTGGGATCTGTTTTGCTTGTTTGTGACAAAGTTGGAGGAAACAAAAAACATTTGGAGAACTTTGGACACACACAAGCAAAAGGGAACAAATAGTATGTTTATTTACAAACTGCTAGCAGCTGCTAGTTATGCTGAGCTACCTTTTTATAATATCCACAGCTCTTGTAGAGTCTGTGGGTCCCTTTCATTCTTGGGGTGGCATACCCTAAGCCCCAAGCACGCCACCAAGCTCTGCGCCTTCATGTACTTGACTCGGAAGACCTTCACCACTCGAACCAGCCGCACCAGCCGGCAAAAGCGCAAGAGTGAGGCTCCAGTCATGTCCTGGCGACGTGCTTGTCGTGTGTTATGAAATATATCGACTTGACTCGACGATCTCTTTTTTGAGGGTGATCTTGAATGACTGTGACGTGGAAGGCAAGAGTTTCTCTTCAAGGCGTTTTGTTTTTGCAATATTGCGGCAGTATTATATATACTAATGATGTTATACTATTATAGAAGTCAATAGTAAAACGGTGGTTGTTTGGCTAAAAAATCATTACACCAGTAGGTAAGTAATCATGTTGTACTGGGGTATTCTTTTGGTGCATGTAGCACCAGCTGCTGTAACAACCACTTCTTTCTTCAGCAATCAAAGTTCCTATTGCCTTCCTACTATCAGGTCATCCTATGATCCGTTGAGGCTTCCTGGCAAAATCGTGATCCTTCCCTTCGTTCAACCCGACTGAACGGTCAGCAAAGAAAAACAGCCAGCGCGGACCGCGGTGGACTGAACGGCCAGCTCCACCACAATGTCGGTGAGGCCGGTGAACAACAGGAACATGTCCTTGGAGGAGCAGCATCTTCTTAGTCGTTCAGAAAGAGGACGCGAAGTCAATCAGGACGAGGTAATGCAACAGAGTCTCTTTGCTGCAACTCAAACTCAGATCTGTTTGTGTTTCAGGATGTGTCCCTGAAAAAGGAGGCCTGTTGGCTTCACCTGGGCCTTTTGGCTTCACCAAACCCCGACCGGCGGGAAAAACAAAACGGAAGGCCGTGATCGGTACGTGACCGGTTTATCGCTTGAAGAAGCCAACAACAAACACCCTGCGGAACGCACGGCATTTGGAAAAGGAAGGCCATCTTCCATGGTTTTTGTTCAGGTTATGGAAGAGTCAGCTGGATCGGCTAACCCTACCTCACACCAAAGTTCTACCAAAGTACGATCGCGTGCTACACCGCTACACCTAATGACCTCAAAAAAACTGCGGTCGCACAGCAAACTCGAACTCTAGCCAAATACACCAGACCAACAAAAACTCTAAAACGAGCTCCGCTAAGCACCATGGTTCGAAGAAGTTCCAGAACTTGTCTGAGCCGCAGAAGTAGGATTTGAGCCCTGACAAATGAACCCGGAGGCAAACTTCCATGATGAGGACCACCGCGAAGATCACCTGACTGGACCAAATACAAGGATCCCGCTGTGTCCACACGCGAGACACAGGAGTCAGTAGAAAAAGAAATAGTGTTGTTTTATTGTTCCATAAGAAAGGTTTGAACATGTCAATAAGATGGACTCTGCTGTTATAGCCGATGAAATGTCAAAGTATCCAGTCCAAATGTGAACATGTATCAGGCAAAAAGGAACACCCGGATGTATCGATTACAATGGTTCCAGATCGACGATCATCAGTGTACTTTCCGTGTAAAGAAACAACAACATCCCATCCCATGCGATTCTACAACCTCTTATATACTAGGCGTGCGGCCGCTGTGCAATGAGCAAATTTGTGTGAAACCCAATGTCGTTCAACTCAGTGGTGATGAACAACGCTGTCTCCAGTTTCCAGTGCGAGAGTGCTCATATCCGCTTTCATGCTAACCGGTGCCTATCCTGTTCCAACCCGTAAGGAAACAGGTCACGGGTTTGGAGGAACCGTTTTGGGTACCAAACAACTTGCATCTTCCGAATCGATGCCATTCTCGATACCCGAGAACAAAGACACGATGCACGTGCTTTGAAAAAACGCCAAGACCCAATTTTCCGGTGAAAACTCTGGGTATTATGTTCAAGGACCCTGGCTGTTCTTATGGTATGGGCAGCCAAGGACTCTTATATATATAATGTCTGTATATATAGGCCATCGAAACAGCTGCATGCTGGTTGTATGGTGGTTGATCTAAATTCCTGCATATCGTTTGGGGCATCTTTCACTCACCTTTTGATCAACCAAGGGAGCATCTGTAGTAGGGCAAAAGTTGGAGCAAATCCTCATGCTACTCTCCATGTGGAACCGGCAGAAATCGCGACACGACAGAACTCGTCTCAGATCGCCTCCAAATAAATCCAGCCATCCCAGTCTTCCTGACGCTTCCGCGGAACAAAGCTCGTGTTGATGGAAGAGGTCGCGCCTTCCTTTTGCACTTTGCTGGTCGAAAAAGGTTCCATTTGGGAGCAGCAACTGAACCAGGCTTCCAAAAAAACGAACCAAACAAGGGTTGGCTCGCTCCAAACAAAGCCTGAAAAAAGGTTCCAGTGAGGTTGGATGATGAATCGAAAGAACCGGCTAAACAAGTGGCCAAGCGGCCTCCAAAAAAATGGCTCACAAAACACCGACCCATGTACGATCATGACATGTCATACAGTATCAATAAATATATAACAATAAACAGTATCAATAATATTTCTATATGTTTGCATATACAGTATCCATACAGTATCAATATATTCTATAATCTATAATCCATGAATATCATATATATATAGTATATATATATATTAAATAGATTGTAACTGACTATTGTGACTGTGACTGGTGTCTGCAACACACCCCTAAGACATCCTGAGACAACAAATCAATTTGCACCAAAACTAGTTTGCATAAGATGCAGAATGGAAACCATGAAACACGTGCGTCCTAGCCATAGCTATACGTACAATCGCTGTGGGAATTCCTGCACGAGATCCTGCGAGCCTTTTCCAAAGGATCTATCTTGAAGCCCCAAAGTGCAAAAAGTCAAAGCATCAACTCTGGACACGCTCCTGATCTGGGGTTGGAAACCGGACCTCCCATGTCTATCTCCCTCAACCAATCACCACATTCTCCGGAGTGGCGACCCAACGGCCATGGCCGGGCCACGTATCGTGGGTCGGTCTGGAAGCCGATCATGATGCCATTGGCCTTGTCAAATGTTGGTGTTAACTACACTTGTCAACTACATCGATGAATTTCCGTGTTGAAACCGGGCACCCGGTTAAGTAAATTGTAGACCCACGAACTGGAAGAACCTTCAGGTCCAGTGTGTTCATGGGCGGTTGCACCTCTAATGCAAAATATCCACCCGCACCGAAGGTGCCGGGGCACGATCATCCAGGCTGCGAGGGGGGCATCATAAGACAATATTGCAATACTGTAGGCTTTAGCTGTGAGGAGGGCCTGTATTCAACTCAAAACCCTATTGTTGTCAGATGTTGTCAGCATTGTTGAAGGACAACAACTATATACGTACAATTATTTTTACACCATTCGATTGAGAGAGTGTGTGGCATATTGCATAGTGCTCTCATAGAGACCAGGGTACCGCACGGTACCCGGTCAAGGTTCTCATGACTGACCGAACAGAAATAGCTGGTTTGGTGCACCAACTACGTCGCTGGAAACATTCCAAACCCAAATGACGTAATGGATAGCATGGAGCTGTTCGGACGACTGCACAGCCAACGCAGAACTGGACCTGGGAGCGGCGTGTGCCACCAATGTGGTTCTCCATTTGACATGCAGAACATTTGGAATTAAACTTGGAGAAAAAAAACAGCAGAACTTCCAAGTGTTTGGGCGAAGGCGTAGTGGTTGTTCTTGCCCGAGTTTAGATTTGCGTGAATAAAAACACGTTCCAACGCATTCCAAGCGGGATGAAGAAAAACTGGAGAGCCAAAGGAGATCAACAGTAAGCCTAACTAGTTGGTCAGCTGTTAGAAGCCCGTTCATCCAGTGAACATTGTTTTATGTAATATGTCATCTGTTTCATTCACACTGCGTGGAAGGATGAACCTGGCATCCCGCGTAAACCCGCAGTCACGTCCCGAAGGGTGAAACTGGTTGGATCACGCCCGATCACTCCCAGAGGAATAGATGCTGGGAAGCTAAACCCGAAGGAGCAAACCCCGTTCGTCATACTCGATTTCACCACATCCAGCCTTTGATTCCTCGAGTCGCCGCTGGATTTCAATGCCTGAAGTTCCTTCAAGGTCCTTCCTTGCCAAGTCACCAGAATCAGAACGGCCACGAAGGGCTCCTGAGAGGGATCGTAGATGCATTCGGAAGAAGGCAACAGCAGCATTAGTAACTAGTTTATTTTTGCTCAGACTGCAATCTGTAAGAATCTGTCATATGCTGCGTTCGTTGGATTCGATGTAGCCACATGGAACAAGATCCTCAAATCCCGACATCCTATGAGAACTCTTGGATCCGCCTTTCGTCAACTCTGGATGACGCCGTTTCCGTCATTTCTGGAACGACGAGTCGACGCGAGAAGAGCATGAAAAGAGATGATGAACCCTGAGCCTGGTAGTCGACTTTCTTTTGGTCTTGAGATGTCTTGAGTCTTTTGGTGACCCGACTGAATCGGAAAATATACCCGACTCATATCGGGATATCCTTTACTTCGGTGGGGCCAAAGTAGAGTCGAACTGGACATCAGGACAGGTTCTTCGATAGCTGTACTTTTTAAGTTTCCCTATTTTTCTTAACACCCAATCAATAGTGCGAGCTCTTCTTCAAGGAAGCCGCCTTTAGGGCGGCGGGGGGAGTTTCCTTGAAGAAGCGTGAGCTATCCTGCGTCCATAATAATAGTATATAGTAGCCTACTTGCAGGTAGTAGCCACCTCTCCCTGCTACCCTACTAGCTACCTTTAGCGGCCTACACCGCCCGGGCTTTAAAACAGAAAGCTGTGGTGTTATTGACTTCTAGAAGAATCTGTGAGAAGAGGACAATGTCCAGGCCGGTGTCCCTCAAAGGAATGGACAGGCCCAGTGGATTCCAGTTGGCACGGCGGAACTAGGAACCAGGGTTTCGAGTTCTTCATTTTTTCCGCTGAAAGCGATGGTTACCATTTATAATATAACAATACTTTAAATATCTAGGGATTCCACTGGGAGGGTCATTCAACATGGTTGCTTGAAATTATTGGCGGACTGCATCAAGTGCACTGCTTCCAATCTGGCAAAGTATCACGGTCCAAGGGGTTTCGTTACCTAGTTCTAATGAACGCCCAAACGCTTCATCCGTCGCCAGTCTGGGTCAAACAAGCCGGAATTGACCGAATTCTTCACTCTTCACTTTCACAGAGGATATCCCTCCCCTTTTCTCAAGGAGTCCTCTGCTTCCGCAGATTGCCATAGGTTTGGGGGCATCCGCCCTGCGGGGGTCATTCAAACAAGTATTTGCCGACACAAAGCTCTGAGGTATTCCCTGAAGAAGGTGGAATGTCAGTTGAGCTTAAACCACCTCAAACCGATTCCAGTCACTGCCACTGTCACGGCGAATCCTCCCCCGTTTCTCTCTCTCCCCACTCTCGACCGAGTCTCAATAAAGATCAGCGGGTGGATCTTTTCTGGAGGAGCTGCCAAGTCGTTAATTCGCACCTCATGAGGTGCTTCCAGAAAACCCATCGGAGCTTAGGCTACAGAAGATGAGATTCTAATATATATACCTAGAACCTGAATGACCTCTATTTTGGACCACCAACCACCCAAAATATGGCCTTTTTCTATCAAAACAGGGGTCATTCAGGTTCCAGGTATATATATATATATATGATATATTATGATATTATGTCAGTTTTGTCATCCTGAGAAATAATATATATATAAGCTGATCATGCATCAGCAAACATCACTATATATAAGCTGATCATGCATCAGCAAACATCACTCCCTAGCCACAGCCTTGCTAGCAGCTAGCTTAGCAGCTAGCAAGGAATTTGTGTGGAAAGGAATTTGCAAAGATCTTCTTCACCCCCCGTCTTGGGTCCATTCCGAGGCATCGACGCCGGGTCCACATAGGCCCGCGTCTCCCGACCCGACGTGGAACCGACCACTGTTGTTCTGGATGGGACACGTCCATCACCTTCCTCCTGTTTAAATCAGCAAGTCCAAAACAAATCTCAGATAGCCCATACTTTACATCATTGAAAGATATTGAAAGCCACCAGATTCTTCAGGTGACCTCATGGCAATCCCACACCCACTTCTGCTCCAAACAAACCTTCCGCCGCGCGTCGAAGGTCAGCTCCGCCACCAAACGATTGGTATCTCCCGCCAAAAGGATCTCCTTCATCGCCTGGCCGGTCCGACTCGAGTCGGAAGTCGTGACGCAATCACGTGGACCTCCCAGTCCCACCGAGGACTCTAGCAATTCAACTGGTATA